TTCTCATTTCATGATATAGTTCCTTGAAAGCTTTTACATTTTGTCTCTTTCAGTCTTATTCTTTAGCAGCATTTAGCAATATGGTAGGAGAATTTAGTTATCATGAGGTGATAAGGACATATTTCAATTGAAAAAATTTCCTGTTGCGATAATAGTAGTTACATGATCATGAAGAATAAGTGATAAACGAATATTTGAAATAATTTTTTTCCTCCTTTGATGGCTAAAATAATTTGGAGACAGAGGATATGACAGAAAAGAAATTGGCATGAATATAAGACGAAATATTCATACTTATTAGTATTTTTGCAGAGAATTTTGTTCTACAATGTTAATACTATTTGACGCATTCATTAATGATTCCGAGAGAAAAGATATGAGAAGAGAGAAATTGATATAAACATAGGGCAAAACATGTATATTTATTGCTACTAATATTTTTGCAGAAAGAATTCTGCAGTTATTATTTTCCACATAAGTAATAACTAGCTAAGTTTAGATTGATCAAACTCAAAAAAGTATCACTGTAAAACTTCAACATTATGACAATACTTGAAAGAAAAGAATAAATTTTCAAGATTTCAGCAGTTATACGATAGATATTTCAATCTTTCAGATAGTCTGCTGTAATTTTCTGACAGCTAAAACTCGATGTTATTTCCGAATAACGTGTGCACTATAGTGCATGATCTAAGTATATATGTGTGTATGTATTTCTGCGTGTTTTATGTTTACGTATATGTAAGTGTATGTGTGAATGTATGTGTATGTGTGTATGTGCATACAATTGTATTTATTTTTCTGTATAGCTATTTTAGAACGATTATTGTCACTATGATAATGATTGGTACTCTTCGTTTTGATCACTTGACAATATCACCCGATATATCAGCAGCAATATACAACGTTTCATCTTTACCGCCATTTATATACTATTATAACCTTTGCGCAAAAGATATCAAAAAGCTTAGTGACAGGCAAACACATACATACATGCATGCATGATTGTTTGCGGACATACAAACACAACACATAACAGTTGACTGATACATACTGCACTACCTCACATGCAAATGCAAAATAAACGGTTTAAAAAAAAAGCCACAAAGTGTGCCGACATATTTTATAAACACTAATTTGTCAATCATATCAGTTTTTACATTCTCGTAATGCCTATTATTGCGAATCGTTAGATAGAATGATTCTTAAAAAAAATATTGGAAATTTATATTTTTCTTGAGAAAAAAAAAAACTTTTTCATATCTGAGAAAAAACGGAGAATTTGAATAGTTTAGAATTCTCAACTTAAAAAATTATAGTATCTACCCAATTACATTAGTTTATAATCTACTTAAAAATATTTTTTTTTTTTTTTCGTTTTCTCATATTGAAGACAAAAATATTTCAGTGATTGCACCAATTTTTCAGGTGTTGTGGCGCAGTTGGCACGTTTCCGAATGCTACAAAATCGTACAATTACAGAAATTAGAATGCGTCCTCTTCACGTGCCATATCCTCTCAGTGGTTTCATAGCACTGACTGGAACTCAACAATCGACTCCTCCGGTACCACCGGCACCAACGATCTTTCCTAGTCATTACTCAGCCGAACAGTGGAATCGTTATTACATTCATTTGTATCGACAAATGATGTTAGCACAGATTTCATCTGATGCACAGGTAACTTTTTACTATGATATCTGATAAATTCGTCTGTGGTATCATCAAACAAATTTATTTTAATAAACACAAAAGTAAATCCTAAACAGTCTCTGGAATATGAACTAATAGAGATTGTTGAAATTGGTCGTACTTAGATTAGAAAAATGGCATTCGCAATGTTAAACAATCATAGTGATCGGATAAGGTATAAATAGATGATCAGTGTTAGCAGTGATCATTTTAACATTTCACTAATTCTTTAGAGGCAACGAATCATCCATTTTAATCAACAAATGGCAATGAAAGCCGCAATAGAAGACAACGGCGGAAATGCATCGCTGGTATCATGCAATGATCATCCAAAATTTGATTTCACTCAACTTGCTAAAAGCATCGAGAATGAAAGCAAAGTGAGTTTGATTTATTAGTAGCATTAGTTTAGTATCTAGTAGCATTAATTTAGCAAACAATTATATTTTATATTAATAGTAGTATTTTAGGAAAAGATGATTGAAATATTTTTCTATTTTCGAATATATTAATTAGTTCATTTTCATGAATTCATTGATTTCTTAACTTGTGTGCTTATTTTTGGAAAAAAGAAAGAAAAAAACTGTGCTATCTATTATCATTTTATTGTATTGTTGTTTCAGTTCATTTCATTTTTTTCTTGTTTTCATTAATTTTAGATGGCAAAAGCAACGAAAAATAATAACAGATTAGCACAAAGTTGTTTACCAAACACATCAACTGCATCTACCACTTCAATCAATGACCTTAATAAACCATGGTGAGTAATTTGTTTCGAAATCAATTCATTTAGCTAACAAATAATTAAGCTTAAATGAATAGAATAAGATAATTTTCAACTTCAAAAATAAAAAGCCTATATCAAATACATTAGGATGAAGCTGATTGAAATAGAATACTACTTTTTAATGAAATGAAGATCTTTTGGTATTAATTTCAGGTTTTTATTGCCAAAACGTAATACTGGTAGGGGAGCTCGTCCAAAGAAAGAGTTTATATGTAAATATTGTAATCGACATTTTACCAAATCATATAATTTATTAATACATGAACGTACGCATACTGATGAGCGACCATATGACTGTGATATTTGTGGCAAAGCCTTTCGTAGACAAGATCATTTAAGAGATCACAGGTTTTAAATTTCTTTTTATCATCTTTTCATTTTTCAAAAACTTTAGAGACAAGTTAGCACTTGAATTCAGGTGTGTAGTATGCTAAAAAAATCTCTAAACTCTTTCCTAATTTAATTATTATACTTGCATTCTGTGATCCTCAATCTTTATGCTACTAAATAATAAATGACCAGCAGAATTCTTTCACGTTTCTACGTCTCACTTACTCTTAGCTACTTCTATGCTTCCTTATCTAAGTGATTAATCAACGTGATATGTGCATTAAATCCGTAAATGATAGATTATGTATGGAAAAATTAGCATTACATAACACTTATTAATAATCTTTTTTTTTGCATTGCACTTCAAATCATATTTTACCTTCTTTCTATTCAGATTTATTCATTCGAAAGATAAGCCATTCAAATGTGACATATGTCAAAAAGGCTTCTGCCAATCGCGAACACTTCAAGTCCATCGAATTTCGCATAACAATTCACTAGAAGTGGAACATAGGAGACCACGAAAAGCTCAGAATAACATCATGATCAATCCATTAGATAATGTTCGGGTAAAATATTTCCTGGTCATTTTCTTGAAGTATTTTTTGTATCACTTCGAGAAGAAGCAAGTATGACTCAATGATCAGCAAGATCATTCATTTTCTTCCAATTTCTGCTTCAATCATTTTACGTAGTTGTATACTTGCATTTTTTGTAGTCCTCTAATCTGTTCTACATTATTTTATTATGAACATTTCATAGTTATTTTCGCAGGAGCATATTTTTTTCAGGATGAACGAATTGGTATTGTCAGAAAGAATATGACTTTCACCAATGGTGGTACAAAATCACCAGTATTAGGAAACATTCCTACTGTCACTTTATCATCATGATTATTTTGGAAATATTTTAAATACTTATAAAATAAAATGTTCTATTATTAGGAATTAAATATAAGTTTTCATTGTTATAACTTGCTGATCTTTCATTTACCAAATTTGTGGCAATATTCCATTGAATTTTTTATATAATGTAAATCAGAACATCTATTTATTTAATTTATAGTGTATGTCTATCTATACAGGTAATCATCCATAAATTGTATTCAAATTTATTGACTTTCGTAATATAACTGCAGCGGGATGGAATTTAAGTTTCAGAGGAGAATTTATTTAAGGAGGGATAAGGAGTTATCCTGACTGACTTATCCACTTCCTTTCATTCATATGCACTTCTACTTCTTGTTATCTCTCTTTATACGTGTATACTTCATAGCCCTTCAGTGCTATGTTAATTGATTTTATGTATATTTCACCTGACATTTCGGGTTTGAAATTTTACCATCTTATTAGTTTAATCTTTAGTGTCTAAAACCCTGATTAGCTTTTTTCAAAGGAAACAGGTAAGAGAGAGAAGTTAAAGAAATAAAATGATGAAACGGAAAGAAAGAAATAACATTAATCACTGATATCAAAAAATTATTTAAATCATTTCATCCGTTTTAGAATACGGCTTCGAAACGCCTAACCTAAAATTAAAACGAATTTGAAACTTAATGAATTTGTCCTTCTTTCTTTCTATCTCGCTCTCATTTCTGTAATTTTTATTTATATTTTTATTTGCTATTTTCTATTTTATACTATTTCCTATTTTATTCCGATAATACAAGTACTGATACACAAGTATTAACACTCTGTTACACAAAAAGAAAAACTTCATCTTGAGTCGAGTATGTGTGCTAGAGTTATTACTTCTAGAAAGATTATGATGGTATTGATTATGCAGTTGGAAAGGTCGTGATGATCAGCGATTATTGAGTTGAAATGGTCACGATTATCATCAATTATCGAAAAAACACATAATCACCGATTATCGAGTTAGAAAGATCATGATCGTCACCAGTTATCGAATAGAAGGACTATGATTATCACCAATTATCAAGTTAGAAAAATCATGATTCATAAATTGTCGAACAGAAAGATCATGATTATCACCGACTACCGACTTAGAAGGAACATGATCGTCATCAATTATTGAATAGGATCATGATTATCATCAGTTATCAAATAGAAAGACCACGATTATCATTAGTTATCGAATGGAAAGATCACGATTATATCGAGTTAGAAAAGTGATTTTTATTGGTTGTAGAGTAAGAAGTATGATAAAAATCAATCTTTGAGCCAAAAATTTCAGTCATTACCGGTAGAAACACTGACTTGGTATATGAAAATCATCACAGCTTGGTGTTTGACCTTTTCACTTGCACTATTTTGCCGCTGAATCTGAAAATTTCTAAAATTTTTTGGAAGATTTTTATTAGCAAAACTGCCTTAAAATTTAATGCTATTCCTATAACAGAAATCTATGAACAAATTTCAAAAGTTGTATCTTGAAATTGAAACCGAGAACAGATTTGATGCATAACAAAAAAATGTTTTTCATGTAAACGAAAATAGCATTTTTAAGTATTTAAACGTCTGTTTACCTGAGATACCATCTCCTATAAGCTATTCAAATGTGGCGTTGAGGTAATTTATGTTAGATTTTCGCTTATTTGATATAGATATAAAGAGATGGATGTTGTGTGTATATCTCAAAATAATCACTGAGATTTCGACAGAAGTCGTTTACGATAATGGTTACGCGGCTCACTGAGAGTAATTGACATTCCCTTAATTTAAAATAATCTTAAATAAATTCTAGCTCCAAAATTAATTTCACTTGTTAAGTGCCCCATCTAACATCACTAATCGGAATAAAGTCTCGAATTTTCTTCCCTCCTGGAAAAGAGAGAAGCAGGTGGTGTTTTACGGTTACTGTTGGCCGATGTTCGTTTTGAGTGTTGAATTGAATGAGAAGCTAAGCCAAGCGATGAGGGATGAGCAAAGTGGTAATTGTATCTTTCCGTATCAGTGATGAGTTGTGCTAGTATTCAGTTATTGATAATAAATTACTCTATCAATGAACGAAAATGGAAGCGACAGGATCACTCGGAGCAAAACTTTCGATGGAATTGTCAAAACTGGATGAAGAACTAGAAAGGATCGAAGGAGATATATGTACATTGAGAAAGCGGAAGCGTACTTTATTGGAAAGGAAAGCACAGGTTTGTTATTGTATATTATTAAACTGGCATGTATTTACCTGAAAGGACTGAGGTGTTACATTCGAATATGTTAATGTTTAGTGCAGTCACGCGAATAAAACAGTATTGTGAAGGTTTTTTAGGACGATTAGAAATTGTTGTAAATTTTGAGATTTAGATCGTTTGCACTGTCCATATTTTTTGTTAGACTACGATTTTTCCAGATCGAAAAGCGTATAGTTGAGCGAAATGTGGAGAATGAAAGTTCATTTAGAATTTGGGATTCAGATGAATTTCAGTGGATGAAGGACTGTCGTCGTATATTACACGACATTTTTAAACTCAGTGATTTTCGCCCTTTACAAAGGTTTTTTTTAGTCGGAATTTCATATTTTCTATGTCAGTATTAATAATAGGAAATCTGTTCAACATAGTTATTGCACAAAAGTTGCTTGTTTATGACAGAAGTTTGCATCCCCAATTAGCTAATTTTAGCGGGTATCGCTTATTTTTCCTTTAGAGCTGTTATCAATGCAGTATTGTCGAGGGAGGATTGTTTGGTGGTGATGAGCACTGGAAGCGGGAAAAGTCTTTGCTATCAATTACCTGCTGTTGTTATGAAAGGTGTAGTATTCAGTTTTTTATTTAAATTATATCTAAACAATGCAGTTTATCACGCAATATTCAGGAAATTGATAAGCTCTGTACACTTTCTGTTTGTTTTTATAGGTATCGTATTGGTTATATCACCTCTGGTAGCTCTTATTGAAGATCAGTTACACCAATTAAGAAAATTGGGCATTGATGCAGCAACACTCAATCAGTCCACTGCGAAACAAGAGGTAAGAAATTGATTTATATCGTTAAATTTTTAAGAAAGGAATTTTATTTATGCCTGACTAAAAAATACATCAAACTTAATTAGTTCTAAGATGGATATTTTATAATTCGTAATGGCCTTTTTTTTATCTTTATTATGTAGTTAAAAGTCGAGTTTTGTTTGCCAACAAGCTTACCACACTACCTCGATGTTGAGTCGATGAAAATGTCTAATTCAGTCTCTTCAAGAAATAGATATTATAGAAAAGTTTTGGTCATACATCAAAGAAGAATTTATGGTAATGAAACAGCCGTAGCTAATAGCTTAGGCGTCTAAGCTCTTGAACTGGAAATTATAAATCGTGGTTTTTCCGATAAGATTAAGTGTTGATTGTGAAACCTCAAAGTTCATTTATTTTATATTGTATGGCTTATAATTTCTATTAGATTACTGCATCGAAGATTCTCAAGTGTTCTGGGAGGGACTTTCTGGAAATTCATTAAAGCACATCACTGATGGTGTTGTAGCTACAAATTATCTGTAGCCAAATATTGCATATTTTGGAAGAACGCTTATGGTGCTCTGTTTAACCATTTGCTTTAATTTATTCTCTAATTAAACGGCAACATTAAGTGGTAGGAAATGAAGGAAAATTTTAGTTTTCAAAGCAAAGATTTTGATTTCGTAAATAATATAGTTTGATGAAATGAGAGGCGGAGAAACATACAACAGATAACATAATTTGTTGCACATGTAAACAGGGTTTAACTGCTACCTTAAACTATTCTCTTCTGGATCCTTTAATTGAATTCATTATTTGGGATTTATTGCTTTGATAAGGAGGAAGTACTGTTTCAAAGTGGTAATAAAATTTTAAATAACAACTGATATATATTGATAGGTAAATCGAATACAAACAGCACTTACCGATTCAAAGGCATCGCTACGCTTGCTTTATGTCACGCCTGAAAAATTAGCAAAAAGTAAGAGGATTATGAATCGTTTGGAAAAATGTAACGAAATGAAACGATTAAAAGTTAGTCGTTGAGTGTGGCCAGTTCAGTTTTATTTATTTTTTTTTTTTTTTTTTTTTGTATTTTCTAAGTTCTCTTCAATTATTTACTTGTTGAAACGAAGCAGCCTTTCAACTTCTCCATACTATTTATTCTATGTTCTACCTTTTCAACTGTCGGCAGACTAATTCTAGATTATATTTATTTGTGAAAATATGAATTAATAAATGAAACATGGACATTACTATGGAAGGAATCGTCTTACTTTTTATGAGAAATTTCTTCTGTTGAAGCTTTTGAATAGAATGTGACTTTTAAATAGTATAATCGTGATGTAAGATTAATTTAATTTTAAATTCGTGAAATTACCTTTTTTATAAATTTTAGTTGATTGCGGTTGATGAAGTACACTGCTGTTCGCAATGGGGACATGATTTTCGGCCAGATTTTAAATTTCTTAATGTTTTGAAACGTCAATTTCAAGCTGTACCGCTGATTGGACTAACTGCAACCGCTACTGCTGATGTTATTGACGATGTGAAAAACATGCTAGGGATTCCAGGTTTTGTGATTTCTGACTAATCTGACTAATTTTTTAAATGGGCTTAGTTTTTCGGAAGTTTCAAGTCTCTGCATTGTTCCTTATTTTAACTAAAAATTTCTTTTAAACTTATTTTATAGTAACTATAAAAGAACTCTTTCTGTGGTCGTTTTTCAAATACTTTATTCCCTTTTTGTTTCATTAATTGAATCTCTTTGTAGCTGCTGTGGTATTTCGCGCTGGTTTCAATCGGCCAAATTTGCATTACAGTGTATGTCAGAAGCCATCGTCAGATGCTGAATTCGTGGATATTCTGGTGGAGCTAATTAAAACCCGGTTTGCAGGACTGAGTGGAATTATTTATTGCTTTTCGCGTAAAGAATGTGAGGAACTTACAAAATCATTACGGTAGCGTTTTGTACTCAACTTCTTGTTTGGCTCCCGATATTTAAAAGTTTGCTTCTTTCCTAACAATCTTTATCTATAATTTTACTATGAAACAGAACAATTTGAGGAGCTTTTCAAATTATCATAAAAAAATATTTAGTGGAAAATAGAAAGGCTGATACGTGACAAACGAAGTATTTTCTTTTGTTTTTTTGTCATCTGTCTTCCATGCAATCAAGTTCCTTTGAATAAGAGATACTTTATTTGTCTAATGCGTTATTTTTTATAAATTGTTTGGTATTCACATTGATTTATTTTCAGTGCAAAAGGTGTAAAAGCGTCACATTATCATGCCTTTTTGGATGCTGGTAAAAGGAACATTACACATGAAAAATGGTTAAATGGCGGGATTAATGTTATTGTAGCGACGGTAGCTTTTGGTTTGTCTTTATTTCTTAAGCGGTAATTGTGCATTAAAATTTGTACATATTTGTGTAACAGTAATATGTTTTCTCAGTTTAGTTTCTCTCGAATTTAAAAAAATATTTTTAGGTATGGGGATTGATAAGCCTAATGTTCGTTACGTTATACATCATTCATTACCAAAATCGCTGGAGAACTACTACCAAGTATTTATTTTAATTAAAGCATTGAGTTAAAAAAAAAGCAAACTTTCTTCATTTATCTTCAATTTCCTAATTTTAATTTAATTGATAGTGGTATGACTACATTGTTTAATTAGAACGACATATTTTATGACTGTCAAGTATCAGTAAACGTTTCATTATGCTCGATTTAAACTCTAGTTGTAACGCATTGGATTATTTGAAATAGCTCTCAAATAATCAAGTAAGTACACTGTACCTTTCAACATAATGGCTTCTTATTTTTCCAGATAAAGGTTACTGTAAAATAAGTTATAAAGAAGGAATAAACAAAGTTTTGCTTCCTTTTATCCTCGTGCATCCATATTATTTGCCGTTAATTGAGTTTATAAGTGTCATAGTCAGTCCTTGTCCATGTTTGAATCTCTAAATTTTAATCTATTTTTAAGGAAAGTGGACGCGTCGGACGAGATGGTAATGAAGCTCACTGTATCTTGTTTTATCGTTTAAATGATCTCTTTCGGCAAAGTACAATGGTTTGTACGGAAAAGACTGGTGTGCGGAATTTATATTCTGTGTTGTCTTATTGTATTGAGGTATAATTTATTTCTCATAGTTTATCTAAGTGATAGTTCTATTCTAGTTCAAAGCAGTTTAGAAAAAGATTGGACAATGTGGTATTGAATAATAAGAGTGAGTTTTTTCTAGTTACCAGTTAGAATTACTAAGTTGAAAACAATGAGAGGATCGGACTGCAGGTCTTTGTGAGGGAGATTTTCTCTTAGCTTTTAAAAGAAATTCTCCACTCGTTCAGATCTTAACGATAATTTTGGAGATAAAAGGATTGCTTTTCAGTTAGTATCTCATTTGCAAACACTGTTAAGAAAATTATTTTTTTTATTTTTTTTTTTACTAGGGATTAATTTTCTGCTTATTAAATTCTGTTTGTTTGTCTCTCAGAAGTTCCTTAATTTGTATTTTTTAAGTTTTTTTCCAGGCTTCGGAATGTCGGCGGTCAGTTATAGCCGAGCATTTCAATGTGGAGT